TCTTGCTTTGAGTAAAACTCCTTTTGGCCGTATTTTGGGGAATTTATTCAGCTGAAGCTGGTGCATGTAGAGGCTGCGTACAGTGACATAGTGCTGCCCTCTACTAGAATGTCAGCTTGCCATTTATTTGGTGATGAAATAAATTTGTGATATATTGTAAACCTGTTTCCATTGTTTGACACTGGTTTAAATGTGCATTGTCAGCAACTTGTGTGTCTGGAGAAATAAAGTCATCATATTGGGCCTTTTCTGTTTCGTTGACTGTGTTGCTGTAGTGATGCATGAGCCATGGAATGATTTTCATAAGTAAAAGCTCCAACGGTTCCTTTGATGGCCTCTAGAGACTTATCATTGTGTTTTTAGCAGAGGCGTTTTGACGTCACCAGTCAATGCGAGTGGATGTGCACCTGCTGATTTTGTTGGCTTTTTGTTGTCTCGGCCTGTAGTTTTGAATGAAAACCACCAGCCATGCATGGTAGGACATTGCTGCCAAATCAGCTGGTAAATCCGTTCTTTAAAGAATATGAGTTGACTCATTACATTTTTTTATTATGAGGCTTATAAAGGCTTTTATTCAACTTTTTTTTTACTTTGGCTTGGTGCTTTCCAAAAAGCATGTCAGTACTTTCCAGCTTTTAGTCAATAAAGTAATAGATTTGAGGTTAAAGTTGAAATTAGGTTGTGACTCGAATATGAGGCACAAGTGTGACAGCTCACTGCTCCAGCGAACAATCAGCCTCCCTGCTTTGATCCAGCAATGAAATGCATCAGTGCTCCAGTTTGCAAAACAGGAGAGACAGGAAACTGTTAACAACAAGGACAGTGGCCTTTGCCCCTGCCTCCTGACCTCCCTGCAATCGAACATGAGGTGCTCTATGGAGGCTTTCCCATTGCTTCTCCGGGCAAATTTAGAGTTCCGGTGCCCCTGTGGACAGATGCATTTCAAAGCTTTGGTGTTATCAGTTTTGTGTCGTAAACATTTGTGTGGCTCCCCTAATGCATGAAACACATGTTGTTGATCAATCTGTTTACAAAGTTGTATTTGTATTGATTTATTTATAAGACATGCCACTTATACCCTGTGGCTATTTTTGATTTGTAGTCCCACGCAACAGACAAAACTCTTCTTTTATTACACAAAAATAATAAGCTGTTCTAAAACCACTTATTTTGTTAGTTAGTTAGTCATCATTACTTTTAAACATCAACAAACCTGAGCTCTTTCATCTGCTTGAGTCTTTGACTTGAAGGCTCAGTTCCACTGAGAATCACACTGCAGTATTTTTATACCTCAATTATAACAGGACCCTAAAATAGAAATTCTCTGCTGACCTAGACTTGTTTGCCAAATTTGTGATGATTTATACCCCAATCATTACATTCTTTGATTTTGCCATGCCTGAATTGTTTTTGAAGAGCTCCCTCCCAACTCCACTTGAGTTGTTTGATAGGATTAATGTTTTCCCTGTGCCCATATGTGTGGGGGCTTAACAGCAGGGAAAAGACAGGCAGCAGGTATTGTGCTGGAGGACTCCCCAAATTTCAGGTTTATAAGTGCATCTCCCTTACATATGTTGTGCCTCTTCAGCGGCACGCCAAGGTCCCTGACCTTATCATCCACCTCAGTGGTTCCGGAAGAATCCTTTCCCCCTCCTGTAGCGTCCAGAACTTTAGTCAATACACAAAACACAGCAGCAGCCCATCTCCAGCCTCAGACTAACTGCCAAGCGCCACAACCACTTAAAATAGATTCTCGCAAAGCGACCAAGCCAGGTATGTTCTAATCATGGAAGGCGTGGGCCCCGTGGCTCCTCAAAGAGGCTTAGCCTTGGACCATTGGTCGATCCAAAGGAGCACCGGGAACATGAGCATACAGTACCTTGCAAAGGTGATACTCTCTACCATAGTTCATCACACCCCCAAGCATTTGATTTACCTGTTATTCTCTTGATTTGGCCTGTGACTACAGCTCTTTTGAGCACGATTACATATACTACTGCAACTGTGGCTTGCAGTGGCGGGCTGTGCATTTCAGACCTGCGGCTGCAGTGATGTCCGAACCTAGCAATCTCCAACTTTTTTAGTGCCACAGACCCCCCCTACACCAAATTGCCTCTTGTGTTAAAACGACAGGAGGCACATCGATGTAGTTTGTACACACATGCATGATGCACTCGAGCACAATGTGGAATTTTAGGACCCAGTTTTGAGCATTAATGTGGGAAAGTCCAACTACAATACAAGTATTGCGTGTGAGTTTTAATGTTTTGTTTTCTTACCGGTGGTGAGGCAGGACTTGATTCTTTTGCATTAGCCTAGCTTTGCAGGTTGGCTTATTGACAAACGGTTATTACCATTGGCTTTTAGCCTCAGCTCTGCTGCAGCTGTGTGCTCTGGCTGGGGCAAAATCCAGGCTCTCCTAGTCCCTCTGTCTCCGTTTGTCTTGAGAAAGGCGTTCTATCTATCTACCAGATATATTGACCTCCTTCAGCGGTGAGGTTGAAAAACTAAAACATAGTTGTCGTACTACACGTATTAGCATTTTTGTTTGTTCCTGTTTTTCACATTAACATCTGCATTGACGTTTCTCTATATCGTGTATCCAATCAAAAGATGTGCAGGCTCTGACCAGTGGGGGTGGACCCAGAAAGAGAATTATCCAATGCTTTTGTATGGGGTCCTCTTTCCTCTCGAAAACGGCTAAAGTCGGCTCTTGACCCAAAGCTACTTTCCAGAGCTAGTTTAGGCGCTGTGGACTTCAGAAGGCACTGGTGCTGCCTAACGCCTGCGGGAGGGGCTGCCCACGACCATTTTGAAAAAGCCCCATAGAAGCCAAAAGTGATGGCACATTCGTTTCAATCGCGGATATAGGTGTGACTATGTTCATTAATATTTACTGTCTATGGCTCTGGCGCTACTCAGGGCCTGCTAGCTGACCCCGAGGAAGGAAACTTGACACTGATTGGTTAGTGAATATGTTTAGGCCAGCACAGAAGGCCTTGCATTCAGGCCTAGAGGGTCCGCCAGTGGCGGCTTGTCAGTATTTAGTGGAAAGTTTGCTTGTAAGTCAACTCAACAGTTGATGTCATCTTGGTAACATGTGTATGAAGATTATACATGTCTAGGCTTATATATAAAACTAGAGTCGGACAAAAGAGGAAAAGACTTGATATGACAGAAAGTTGGAGAGGCGTGAGCAGCTGTGGTCCCACTAGAGAGCGTTACTCCAGACTGTCTGAACTGAAGACAGGAGCATGGAGCACTGATATAATCCTGTGGGAATGCTGACGCAGTTTTCTGAAGCATTTATAAAAACATTCTAATATTTGCTGTTTGATCAGGCAGAGACCATGAACATTACTTCTGGATTCTGATCAATGTCTTGTCTCTCAGGAAAGCTTCCCAACAGCAGAGCTTCTCCAAAATGTCTGAACAAGCTGTCATCAAGCCCTGGCCTTAATTTTTCATCAATACAAACTCAACTTGTTTTTGTTAGCTGCTTTCATGTTTAATAATACTGAATTAAAATTGTATTTGTTCCACTCACATGCAAACGAGTTAGAGAATCAGCTCAAATAAAAACTTCAATGTAATATGCATTGTTTTTTCCAGATGTGAAAATGGGACTAAACAATTCCCTGGGTTATAAACTGAACAATAGTTCTGCTCCTTCAGGGCTCTAATCTACAATGGCGGCACGCTGACTGAGTGGGTAGCAGTCATGCCTCACACAGCACTTAAGCCATGGGTTTGAAACCTGTGCCACCCCAAGTCTTTGTGTGGAGTTTGCATGTTTCCCTCTCCATCTCCCCTGGATGGGTTTACCCCACTACTCAAAACATTCACCAAGTCCGTCATCTCCGGTAGTCCTGACCAGGCAGAGCATCAACATCTAAAAAGGGGTCTCCTGTGCTGCACTGATCCCAGCTCCTGCAGGTTGCCCTATTAGCATGACCGATGAGTTTAATATAACTTATTGTACTTACAAATAAATCATACAAGGACATATTCATTTGAGTTATGGATTTTTTTCAGAAGTCACAAAATGGATAGGCCTACTGCTTTTAATGTTTATTCTATTTTTTTTAATTGAAAATACAATAAAGATCAAATCAGGAACAAATCAGGATCTTCATTCCTTTCTGCTTTTCTATAATCTTTCTAGCCACTTGGCCTTTTAGAAAGTTAGCCAAAAGGATTACCGACAGACTGATGTGTGTGTGGAATAAAAACAAGGGTTACTTCTATGTCTGTATAAGCATCATTTACACGCACTGAGTCACCAACAGCCAAATAAATGGTAGTTCCTATGCTGAGTCATTGTAAAGTCAGGTTGGTCAAAGGTTCCCATTTGGAAAACCATCAGAAATACTAGGGTTAGAAATAACACTACAGATTCCCTTGCTGTCTCACTTTCCCCCATGTGCTGTGATGAAAGCAGCGAAAGCACCTCCGCCGTGTGCCTCTTTTGTTTATTTACCTTTGGAATTACAGCCTGCTCCTCTTGGACTATGTTCCAATGTGTTTTGTTTCCTTTCAAACAGAATATCCATGCGTGTGGTCCTTGGACACAGACACGCACACACACACTTTCACTGTGCAGTGTCTAGGTCCCCTTTGCCCTCCCCCCCCACCTCTAACTAAACATCGGAGGACAGCAAAAGCGAACTTCAAAGTGGCCAGAGGGGGTACTTCTTTTTTTTCCTGGCACTTGTCATCATCTAAGGGACTGGCTGCTGCCCTTATTACTCTAATTGCTTCCAACTGCTGCGAGATGCTTTGATGAGAGGCGCCACGGAGCACGCTGGAGGCACCTGTTGTGGCACCGAGTAGCACAGGTGGGTGTAGCAGACCTGAGCTTGTCCAATAATCACCACTCTAATTTTACAGAAACATTTAATAAGAAGTTATGTACACAAAGCAATGATCAATATGACAAAAATGTCTTTGACAGGAAAGAACTATGCAGCATGGTGGCGCCATCTTGTGGATCATATCTGCTAGAAGTCCAATAGCTAAAGGGGAAATAAAGAATTCAGAACGTAAATGATGACGTACAACACCTCACATCATACTGTGTAGATGGTCTCAAATTATTATGCTTATTCAGTTTTTAATTAAAATACAGATACATCAAAAGTATTTCCATGATATAGTAGTAGTAAGTAGTAAGTCATCTTTATTTGTATACTGCCTTTCACGGACCAGAGTCACAAAGCGGTTTGCAATTGTGGGTATTTGTCCTCTCACTCCACACAGAGATGGGAGTGCGGCCGCCAGTACAGAAGGCGCATGCCAGACCTATTGCACATATTTTTAGTAGTAGGAGAAACCAGAGTACCCAGAGGAAACATGCGCAGACACGGGGAGAACATGCATACTCACTCAGAAAGGCCCTGTTCCGACCGGGATTCGAACCCAGGACCTTCTTGCTGAGAAGCGAGAGTGCTATCCACTCAGCCACCGTGCATATATTAAATACGTCTGATGTATACTTAATCTCCAGATTACATCAACATGGTGTTAGAAGCTCCAGTATGCATCAACAAAAGGGTTAGAGTCACCAGTAGAGATTAAAATAAATAGGGTTAGAGTCCCCACATCAGGAGGGTTAAAGGGCCCAGTTTACATCAACCTACAAATAATTCAAACAAAGCTTTCAGGTCTGTATGTCTTCACTAATTTTAATGCCCTGTGATTTGTGGTAATTCCTCCAGTGATAATGTTTCTTTCCTTGTTTTGTTAAGCACTTTGAGTTGCCGTGTGTATGAACTGTGCTATACAAATATACTTGTCTTGCCATACTCTATTCACCTTCAGTAATAATGTGCAATACTGTCAAAATAAAGGAATGAGCAATAGTGCGTCCCAATGTATCCACTGAAAATCCACTAGTCACGTCATCTGCAATGTATTTATTCATAAAATAACTTTATGGTAATTATGGGCAAGGTGCAGAGTCCCAGGTGCAGTTATAGCAGAAGTATTTTTGGTTCAGGTAAACGTGTGCACAATTTTTTGCTAAGATTGATAGGCCTCTGTGCCCATCTAGGGTTTGTTTATTTAAATCTCTAAAATCCTATTTATCTTTGATTATATTTTTTGAGCGGTCTTATTCCAACTGTCCTGTACACAATGGCAATACATTTCCCCCACTGTGGGATAAATATAGGTTATCTTATCTCAAAATTAATAATAGAGATAAATACAAGTAACATAAAGAAAAATGTAAGAAGCGTTTGTGGGGAGCCAGGTTTGTGGGAATGTCTGCTACTTTGGCGCCTAAATAATCTACACAGGTTATTATTAATGTTATTGTACATATGTTGGCTCAGTACATTTTCTTACCAATTGTGGCAGAATTTTTTCAAAGTGCTCAATTTCAACTTGTTCGCAGTCCTCTGCCTCAGCTTGTTTTTGTGATCTGACAGCCGCCTCTGAATTGAGAAAAATACAGTAGGTGATGCATGTGGAAGAGACGGAATGACAACTCTGGATCTTACCTTGTACAAATATTTTTATCATCTCTGTCATGAGCACCACCGCATCACCACTTACTGCAACATAATTTCATAAAAGTAAATATGGCACACTTTTTATTTATAACAAAATAGGTCTCAACTTACTTCTCGTTTTGTCCTCTTTGAAGAAACTTGTCAGGAGTTTACTTACAGTCTCCTGAAAATGTATAAAGCAACATTTCAAGTTTAAAGTGATAGTCTGCAACTCTAAATGAAATACAAATTTTAGGAAATGTGTTAAATTGACCTCCTCCTTATTAACTCTAATATTACGGGTAAGTCCCGCCTTCCCTTCTCTTAGCTATAGTTCAGAATCCACGGTGCCGTCCACGACCAATCGAGTCATGTCAATCATCGGCGCTGATGCTCGTACCTGCGCATGCTCAGTTGTTTGTTTTCGCGGAGCCTCCGAATCAACTACATGAAAACTGAACAAAGAATTCTGAACATCCGCGCTGAGGTACTTATGTATATACTGAACCTATATCCATAATAAGATCCTCTTCAGATGTGTCCTATAATGTTCAATTCATGATAATAGCACTTCCGGGTTTGCCGCGATCGCTTTTTTGTGTGCATAAAAACATTCTTTTTTTTTCATAAAACATTAACAAATAATTATGTATAATGTGTTCTCTGATTAACATTTCAAAGTGTTACGGAAACGTAGGTGTAGACCAATCAGAAAGGAAGGGAGGGAGGGAGCTGTCTCTCTGACAAACTCCAGACAATCATTTTCAATCTGAGAAAAGTATTGTCACGCCAAAAATAATGAACTGTCAACAAAACTTTAAGCCATTTCTTATTTATAACAGATGTGGATCTCTTATAACACTTTTGAAGCACTACCATGGATCTAGAGGCCAGTGATATTCCACTTGTTTTGGTATTTGAAGCTCCGCATGTTCTCATTCTCTTCACCGAGATTCCCGACACTACGTCTGAATCATTACAGCTTTTGTGCAACATAAGTATTATTTGGAAGCCCCAGCTACTTAGCTTATTCTGAGCTCTATTTTTTTCCAAATCAGGCGAACACATCACGAAACATAGTAGATTACCTTCTTAAAAGTGATTTCTTCCTCCGTCTCCGCCATGTTTTCTCCTCTTCTTCTTCTTCTTCTTCTTCTTCTTCTTCTCGTGTTGTTTTATGGCAGTTGGCAAACAACTTTTGGTGCATTACTGCCACCTTCCGGAGTGGAGTGTGGGCCAGGATGGCCCCCACAGACAACACCTAGCTCCTAGCCTTAAATCCTACCTTCCAACCCAGATTTCTTCAGAAACTTAAACAATTCTTTTCTAACAACCTCTTTATCACAAACTTTCAATATATCCTTTACACTAAAACCAATTTTATGCCTTCTCAATACTCGTTTAAATGGCTCCCTATACTCTCTATATCTGGGGCACTTAATAATGGCGTGTTCCACATTTTCCCTTGTCCTGCACACATCACAATTGCCTGTCTCATGCTTCCCTATTATTCTCAATGTATCATTTAGTCCTGTATGCCCTAATCTCAACCTTGACAATATATCTTCCTCCCTTCTATTTAGCGAACCCCAATCCTTCATCTTGAGCTCTGCCTCCTTTTGTATTTCATACAAAAATCTTCCTTTTAACCCTCTTGCCACCTTTCTTGCCACTGCTCTCTCACTTTTACTTTTATTATGCTTTTAATTTCTGCTTTACTATACCTAATTGGAAAGTCAACCTCCCCTTTTTTTGCCCCTCCTTTTGCAAACATATCTGCCAACTCATTTCCCTCCACCCCTATGTGAGCTGGGACCCATACTAATGTCACCACTTTACCCTTCCTATATATTCTCTCTAAAGTGTGTCCTATCTCTACTACTATATCTGGTCTGGATCTCGAATTCATGTTTTTAATACTTACTACTGCACTACTTGAATCTGATGCTACTACACTTCTCTCTGGTCCACTTTCTTCCACCCATTCCAATGCTAATAGAATTGCTATAAGCTCACCTGTATATACTGCTAAATTGTCACTTATTCTCTTCTTTCCTACTACACCTAGTACTGGGATGACAAAAGAAACTCCTATCCTCCCATCCTCTAACTTTGACGCATCCGTAAAAACCATTACTTGCTCCCCATATTTCCCTAGATATTTCTCTACTCCCTTACTTCCACACTTTTCTCTACCTAAAAGACCCAGATCAATGCTTACCTCTTTCATATTCCAAGGAGGGATAACTGAAAGTGGCACTGTTGGACTCACGTCTAATTGAAATATCTGTGCTTCCCTCGCTTCACTCTCACAGACCCATCCAAAGCTATTCACTTGTAGTTTGACTTTCTCTTGACAGGGTCTTAACACCTCCAACCCTGGATGACCTCTGCTGTACCCTCTGAGGTTAGCCCAGTAATTGAGCATTAGTTGCCTTCTTCGTAGTTCCAATGGCATCTCTGCCATCTCAACCTGCAAGGCTGCCACTGGAGTTGACGTCATTGCACCACTGCATATCCTTAAGGCTTGGCTCTGAACCACATCTAACTTCTTTAGATTACTTTTTGACGCAGAAGTAAACACCACACATCCATAATCAATCACTGACCTAACAAGCGCAACATAGACCTTCTTAAGGCAGGCCCGGCTTGCTCCCCAATCCCGACCTCTCAAACATCTCATTATATTTAAAACTTTTTTGCTTTTCTCTACAATCTTTTGAATATGCCCCTTCCATGTCACTCTACTGTCAAACCATAATCCTAAATATTTAAACTCATTCACTACCTCCAATCTCTCCCCATACAGATTAATATTAACAACAGCCTTTTTCTTTCTCGTAAAACTCATTACTCTTGTTTTTGCAACAGAGAACCTAAATCCCCACTTTACAGACCACGATTCAACTTTCTGTATCGCTTCTTGAATCTTCCCCACTATATATTTTACATTCCTTCCTCGCTTCCATACTACTCCATCATCCGCGAACAGTGACACTCCAACAGACCCTTCAACATTACAAAAAATCTCATTTATCATTATGGAGAAGAACACTGGACTCACAATACTCCCTTGTGGCGTCCCATTGTCTACCTCATACCTTGCGCTTATCTCAGATCCTACTCGTACCAAAATCTTTCTCCCTGTTAGAAACTGTCTGACCCATCCAAGCATTTCCCCTCTTATTCCCATCTGACGCAACCTTATTATAAGCCCTTCCCGCCACATCATATCGTAGGCTTTTTCCACATCAAAAAACACTGCCACCACACTCTCCTTGTTAGCCTGGGCCTTTCTTATCTCATGCTCCAATAAAACTGCTGGATCTATTGTGCTCCTGCCCTTTCTAAACCCATACTGATGGTCTTTAAGCAACCTATTTTTTTCCACAAAGTATACTAATCTCTCATTGACCATTTTCTCCATTAATTTGCAAACATGTGAGGTCAAGGCTATAGGCCTATAACTCTCGACCGCACTGGGGTCCTTACCTGGCTTACAAATTGGCACCACTACCGCTTCTTTCCACTGCTCTGGCAACACACTCTCTGCCCAGACTTTATTATACAATTTTAACAGCTTTTCCTTACTACGATTACTAAGATTCTTTAACATACAGTAGCTAATATCGTCCCCCCCTGGGGACGTCTTCCCACATTTATTTAACGCACCATTTAGTTCAAACATTGAAAACTCCACATTGATCACATCATTATAACTCTGTGCATGCTCTAAGCCACCTGCGTGTTTTAATACTGTCCGCTCTCTTTCTCTCCTTTCCTCTATGCTTAAATTTTCTGAGCTATGGACCTTTGCAAAATATTTAGCCAATTCTTCAGCTTTACCCTTATCCTCCATCACGATACGCTCCCCACTTTTCATCACAGGGTAGCTAAACACCCTACCCCTACCTGCCATCTTTCTAATTGTTCCCCAAACCTGGCTCATAGAAGTCTGTCTGCCCAGCGTGTCACAGTAACCCCTCCAATAGTTCTTCTTAGCTGCCCTGATCACTCTCCTGCCAACTGCCAACTTCCTCTTATAGTCCAGATAATTCTCCCAGTTTACATTATTTGCCAAAGCCTTGAAGGCTTTATTTCTCTCACGTATGGCTACAGTGCACTCTTCTGACCACCAGGGGACGATCTTCCTTTTCCTCCTCCCCTCCCTCTTTCTAACTGTCTGTTTTGCTGCATGAACTATTGCATTACACAAGCTACTATTAAACTCATCCACAGTAATATGACCATTAACATTTATCTTCTCAGTTTCTTCTTCACAAATGGTTTTGAACTTACCCCAGTCCACCTTGTCAAAACACCATTTACCTACCCCTCCAACAGCAGCTTCTTCAAAACTAAACCCTATCTGAATGACTAGTGGAAAATGGTCACTTCCTACCGTAGTTTCCTTATCCACCTTCCATGTGCAGTTCCCAGCAACACTCTCAGACACCAGTGTTAAGTCTAACGAGGACTCCTTCCCAGTCCTCGAATCAAATCTAGTTCCACTCCCATCATTCAGACATACAAGGCTCTTTATATCCAATAATTCTTCAACCACCAGTCCATTCGCATCATTAACCCCACTCCACAATGTACTATGAGCGTTAAAATCAACACAACACACCACCTTCCCTTCCATGTGCATCATAATCTCCTGCAGACCCTCCAGTGATAAACCTTTTGCATGGATTATAGAAATTTACAACTAAAATCTTACCTCCTCTCCCCCATACTTCTATAACTATACACTCAAGTGTTTCTCCCTTACTTACAACCCTATACTGAATCCCGCTTCTAACAAATATTGCACACCCACCACCATTTCCTCCATCCCGATCCCTTCTTACACATTCATACCCCCTAATAACAAAATCCAGTGAATCCTTAAGCCATGTCTCTTGCACACAGATAATATCCGGTTTTACTTGACTATTTTGCACATACACCTTAAACTCCTGACCATTTGCAATTAAACTCCGAGCGTTCCACTGTATTAGATTCATTGCTTCTCAGCAATGCCTCCTCCTCCTCCCTTACTACCCACTTCCAGTCTCTTGTACACCTGCTCCCATGGTATTCCCTTCACCCCCAAGAACTTTTCGGCACCCTTCACGACAATCTTTACTTTTTCTGCTCTATGTTTAGTTTGATCAACGCAGTTAACCACATAGGCCAAAAACACAAGCCAGTCTCCCATATCCGGGCCTACACTCACCTCTCTTCTCAGCCCTACCTCTGCGGAACCTCCATTCCCCCGTGTTTGGACTGGTACCTTCTTCGCTGCCTCAGCATACGTGGTGTTATCTGCAACTTTGACTTTCTCAATTTCCACAGCCCTTTTCCTGACTTCACATCCCCCATATGAAGTGGTGTGTTGTCCCCCACAGTTACAGCACTTTATTTTGTCTTTTTCTTTACATTCTTCGATCCTATGCTCCCCTCCACACCTAGAACAGCGTTGTTTCCCTCTACACACCGCTGCTATGTGCCCATAGTGTTGGCACTTATAGCACCGGAGCGGGGGAGGAACAAACTCTCTTACCGGGAAACTCAAACACCCCACTCTGATCTTTTCAGGAAGCACCTCATCACAAAACTCCACTAAAACAGACAGACTTTTGACCCTTTGGCCCTCACTCCTTCGCATCAGCCTTGTAACTGCTTTCACCCCTGCTCCAAAGCTATTTTTTAGTTTCTCAAGATCCTCGTCAAGAGGGACACCGGTTATCACCCCCCGCGCCCCCCTCCTTTCCCCGACTATCTTGCGCTCCCTAACCACCGTCTTACCTATACTTCCTAACTGCATCACCGCATCCTTTTGCGCTTCAGACTTGCACACAATTAATAAACACCCATCTCTCAAAATCTTTGCTAACTCCACTTCTCCCAACTTCTTTTTTATCTCCCTGGACAGCGCCAAAATCCCGACCTTTAAAGCCTCACTTTCACTCCCGAACTTAAGTATGACCTTAGGTTTGTTTGGTTCTCGAACTACTCTCTTACGCATCACTGACCTTCCTTCATCTGGACTAGAATCATCTAAACCACGCTTACTTCTCTGACTGCTCCTACCCCCCCTATCCCCATCCCTACGTAATGATGGACAGTCATCAAAGTTCATCAAATCATCCTCCTCCTCTGCCTGGGAGTCCATCCCGGCCCAGTCACAAACCAGATTATGCCAAACTGCCAGTATCGATGTTCTCTTTTATTATTTATCTTAGATTCAAACTTGCGTCCGCTCTCTCGTCCTCTTCCGACCCACAGCCCCATGTTTTCTCTCCTTGGCGCGATGAAAGCGATTGGCTCTGGACTCCTGACGTCATCATGAGACGCACCCAATCACGGCTTTGGACACATTACGTCACGTGGTATAATGTCAGGTTCGTGCGATCACGGAAACTCAGAACTCTGTACTAGGAAAGATAGGATTGAAAACTGCTCAAGTCGGGAAAATAAATCAAAAACTCTGGCTAGATCTATAATAATAGTCCCAAAGTCACTGGATACGTGTCAGATTGTGATTGAATGAAAGAAAAAACACACAGAGAAGGAGAGTGTTTTGAATCACAGTGATGCTTTACTCAACAAAATAAACATTTAAGCCAAAGTTAATTTTAAATGATAAATTGTGAATTTACACAGATTCACATACAGTTGAATTATTGGTTACATTTTTGGTTCTCTTATAGTACATACCTATATTAAATCCTCCTGCTGACACCAAATCCTTTTCCTCTATATATACAGTACAAATCATGCATGGACTATTATGTTAATTCTCAGGGGTCCATCTCATTATCCAACCATTGGGCATCTTCAAGTATGTATCCCAGGCCCATGGACCGCCTGGGCCGAGGTTTGGACACCTCTGAAGCTGTCTGCTTCTCCTCCTCTCCTTCCAGCTGAATGAAAAAAAGACTGTTATTATGATGAACATTTGTTACACTTGTACAGCAAGGTGGTGGTTCACACAGACAAAAACACACACACACACACACACACAGTTTGGCCAAAAAGAATACAACTTTTTGCACATGTGATTCTGACTCTGGTTGGTGGATGACATATTTGTAAACTGAGTTCTAGTTTTAGTGTATACAGTATGTGTTGTTGACTCACTTTAGGACTAACCACTCTTTTCACTGTCACTTCAGTTCCTCCAATACAGTGGGGGCCGTTCCAGTCTGCTACGTCCGCTTCCTTCTCACTGGAAAACCTCACATATGCCACTGATTTCTTGTCTTCAGTTTTCTTTATCTGGCATGTAACAGATTGTTTGACAATTTTTAAACAAAAGGAACCAAAATCCAAATTGCTTACCTTGCAACTAGTGACGTTCCCCCATTCTCTGAAATATGCCTGAATATATCCTTCATTCAAATAGGGGTACAAACCTATTATAAATAATCCATGTTCCTAAATAATACATACAATGAGAACAATCCGGTATGCTAATTTCACACATTTTCATACTCACCAATTCATAAGCTTTTGACAAATCAGCATAATACTTCTTTGGAAGACTGATGAAAACTCTTTTAAGGGCAGCTGTTTCCATTTTTGTATCTGTGTGGAAATGACAGATTTTTTAAAATTACATTTAGTTGTATTCTTTAAGAATTTCTTAAATTAACTTTTTACTTCTAAAATAATTTCAAACTATAAGTAGTCAGATTTCAGTTACATGAAGATGTAATCGATTGCTTACCGGGGTTGAGCTGGTCTTCAAATGCAGTTTGTCAACACAAAGGGCTCTTAAATACCCTGGTCTTGTTGCAACATCTTCTTCATGTGAAGAATGTGAGAGGAGTGGTTTGTGACAGCTCCGGTCACGATCTCCATCATCATGGGCCCTTCTTCATGAATGTGGATATAAAATAATACAGTATGTATGTTTACAATGACGCATTAAACAGCATCCATTCTAAAAGCAGGACTTACAGGACAGACACAACGTACACAACACATAACATTGCAGGTTTATGTGTTCACCGGTCTTTCCATCATGTGGTCATTCCATCAAGTGGTCATTCCATCAAGTGGTCATTCCAAAATAAATGTTTTCCAAAGTTACACATGTATATCAGCCTTTTGCTCTTAAGAAGAAAAAAGTGTTTAGATGAGAGTAAATATTTTAAAGCCAACCCAAAAAGTAAGTTACATTAAAGAAGGCTCTAAACGGAAATGCTAGATTGTGACTTCTAAAGAACATGTTAGAGATTGTTAAAACAGTGAACTTCCTCATACGTGACATAGTGATCATATTTGGCTTTAGGCACATGACTGTTTCAGTGGAACTCAAGTACAGCGTTATCTTCAATTCGTACTTTTAGCGAGTATAATTATGATAATTCTTCTTTAAAATATTTGTGTTTGAGTCTCTCAGAATGTGGAAGAGCCTGTTACAATATAAAGCCCACAGCCCTTTATTTTCTTTCTAAATCTTTCATGTGCTCAACAGAAAACAATGACGTATGTACGTTTCTATCATGTATAATATTGCTGTTAATTCTATAAATGATTCCTGTTTATAAGCTTGAAATAAATCCAATCAATCAATTAATCGATAAATCAATTAATGACACTCTGATAGAGATGACTCTCTTGAGAATATATGATCACTCTGTGCCTGCGTAGCTTCTGAGGTCTGACATGATCAGGTTTTTAACATATAATATTCCGTGCTCCTCTAATTCTTCAATAAAGAAAAAAACAAAATGATAAAAGGGAAAAAAACAAATCAAAAGCAAATATCGGCTACAATTCTTCTTTACTCCTCATACTTTTGAGACACAATCATAGTTTAATGGATCCAGGTTCATATTCATTTTATTTGCCATTTGCAGTAAAAGCACATTGGAGTACATTTGTAAAAGTCCCCAGTGTGCACATCATTAATCGTGTTTTATTGAGTACATTAATAAAACAATGAAAAAAGTACAGGGACATAACAAGCTTGACATAGAGGTTTCAAAAACAGAATAAATTTAACTGCTGCCCTCTTTTGGTCAAATGTGTGTTCACTTTTATCAGGTACATTTGTCACGTCATTATCGAGGCAAATTTTTCCAACACGGTGTTTCTCTCTGTATTATTTTAATCGCATTCTAGTTGCCGAAAGCATGACCGTAGACTGTATAGAATGACATGTCTGTCGAGTCGATGTGACGTTTTGGCTTGAATGCCTCGCGCGTGCAGCAGGGGGCGGGGCCTTTGAAGTTTCAGGAAGTACCGCAGCGGAACTTTGTCAGAAAAGTTTCTACTTTCGTTTTTTTTTACATTAACATTAATTATTATCTTTAGTCACGTCCACAATGCAAAATACTGCATACGGTGCTTCCTTTGCTGGAGGAGCCTTTGACTTGGAGAGTTTTTTCAAACGGCCGCAAACTATTTTGCGCATTTTATGTTGGGTGAGTGACTGTACACAAATGTTAGCATGAGCGTTTGTACCAGATGGAAGAGTTGTGTATCCACGTAAATACACGTACAGTCTATATTTTCATAGTTTAAGTACTTCAATATTAATCATATAAATCTGTATGTTCTCGCCCAACGTATTTGTCATTTTTGTCTTGTTTGGTGCTGCCTTGCTTTACCAACTTGATTTAGAAATGTGTATTCTCTTTGGTGCAGCTTTTTTCCATTGTGGTTTTTGCAACAATCACCGCAGAGGGCTACACCAATGATCCCCCCCACCCTGAAAACAAATGTATGTACAACAACCATGGCAGTGCCTGCAGCTATGGAGTGGGGATTGGGGTCCTGGCCTTTGTGGCGTGTGTGATTTTCTTCCTGCTGGACGCTTACTTCCCTCAAATCAGCAATGCCAAAGATAGAAGATACATTGTCCTCGGGGATTTAGCGTTTTCAGGTACATTTAAAAGATGTGTACTACTGTGATACAAGTTTTAGATATTTTTATCTTCTATGTTTGATATTTTCTTCTTCCGTTTAAGCTGTTTGGACATTTCTGTGGTTTGTTTGTTTCTGCCTACTTGCCAATCAGTGGGCCAAAACTGATGATTCATTTAAAAGCAGAACAGATGCTGCACAGGCTGGCATTGCCTTCTCCTTCTTCTCAATTTGTTCATGGGTAAGTAAGTTTATGACCCATAACTATTCTATGTGGACTGTTTTTGATTGACAAATGAATCATCTTCTGTCTAAATGTCCTATCAGGGGCTGTTGACTTATTTTGCGCTTGGGAGGTATAAACAAGGCCTTACGGATCTGAACCAGGATTACACGGATCCTGCTCATGACCACACCTCTCCTTACCCGCCCGAGTATCCAAGCAGTGACGTCCCAGGAGGATACCAACAGTCCCCTTTCTCCAGTCAGGGGCCGACTGGACCAGGGGAGTACCAGCCACCCACCTACTAAAGACTCCAATGTGCTGTTTTGGACTCGCTTTGCCTCTTTATTTGTTTTAAATCAGGGACATGACAACCAAGTGTTGCCATTTTTTATTTGGTGCCAATTATAACACAATGGGAAAGAGGCAGTTATTGATTGTTTTTTTGTTTCCCCAGATCATTATTTGATAGCGATTTAAATTCACAAACCTACCTTGTTTTTGTTATTTCTGAAAGTCCTTTCTAGGTTCACATCATGCATGTGTTTTTTGAATATTATCACCACTTCTAGACACCTTTTTATAGAGCATGTTCAGAAAAGGAATATGTGGAACTTTGAATGACAAATAATTGCTTTAAATTAATACTAAAAGTCACCAAGAATTTTCAACTGCTCTCCATCACATTTTTAAGATGAATGTAACCTATAGTGGTCACAACATGTGGTTGATAAAACATGCAATGAATCAAGTTTGAATGATTCAGTGGAATATGTTTCATTTCTGAACCCTTTGGGGACATATTTTAAAGGGAGTGGTCTTGAGAAATGTGACCACTGATTAAAAGAATGCTTGAGCGTTTTTGTTTTGTTTCATATTCAGACTCAGGACCAGAACAGGTTATCCCACTTCTTATTCAAATATATGACAATCACAGTTTTGTTTGATGATTCATATTTTTGGTCATTGGCAAAATTACTATCACTAAGCAAAGTTTTATGTATATATTATACCAAGGATACCAAATGTTGTTGTTTAATCACTGAAAATCATCTTTTGTGCACTGTAAAACTTGCCTGACCAGCCAAATCCTTTTATGTTCTGACATTCAAATGCACTTAATTTGATACAAAATATATGATTATTATAAACTTGCGTGTTTTGGTCTGGTAAAGCAAAGATTTGGCCTTGCAGGGCTGCCGTATTGCATTTTCATGTTCTTTACTACTTAAGTATTTTAACTGTGACTTAGCCACCTATGTCTTTATTATTAGGTCACATGTTGTAACTTAAAGTATTTATCTACATCTACATGGAGCATAATTATCATATTTTGCGTTATTGTTGTTACATGCTTTGCAGTTGTTCTTCACTTTCCCCATGTGTGCCACGTTTTGCCAAATAAAATCATATACAGGATGTATCAGGAGTTGGGTAAATATTTGCTTAAGCAGTGAGGTTGTGAAGGAATTGCTTCCTGCTGATAGGCATTTTTTAGACCAACAATACTGTCACTGGTAAGAGAAGGGATCTTGTATGACTAAGTAAGTAAAGTATTTGTATAGCGCCTTTCAAAGACCAGGATCACAAAGCTTTTCACATTTTTTATAAATACAGAAGGAAATAATACACATACAAGTCAAATTTAAAAACGAAGATACAGAAGATGGTCCTCATCATGAACACAGTTCACAAAGGCTGATGTGCAGTGAAGTGAGAAAGCCTGTCTAAACAAATAGGTCTTATGTTGGGACTTGAAATCATAAGCATACTAATGTGCAACCAAGAATTACAACCAAGGAATTTTACACAAGTTTTTTTTTTTTTTCCTGTTTAAATGTCATGCCCTTTAAAATGTTAAAATGATTAAAAGACAGATTCCAAAAAACGAAACAAAATAACCTACCTCAATATTTTGGTGAAATTTAAATTGCAAGCGAGATGTCCAACGTCGTGCATGATTCAACATGAGATTAGACAGCGCCCCCTGGTGTCAGCAGACGAGTCCTGACTTATGTCTCGTAAGTCACTTGTTAACAATAGAGTAATACAAACACATATCAGCTGGGAAAGTATGTATGAGGCACTGAGGACATGGAAAATGTTCATCCAGATACATTAATAATTCATAAATACTCCTAAAAAGTCTTTTTCATTAGAATATGAAATAAGCCCTGCAAATCAATGGTGTAGGTTTGGTTCCAATCTTGGTGGGGACATTCACTACGACCTGAGTCTACACCCATTGACACGGGGTCCAGAGTTTCTCCCCCAGAATTTGTTGTGTAATCACACACTATATTTGCAATAGTGTGTTGCCTTCTATACTAAACTCAGCTGTAGACTGAATGAGCAGTTATGTATGTTAACAGAAGATTAATCATCACAATTCATAATTTGCTATTACTTGTGCTTTCTCTTACTTACTTTCCAACTGTTAAAAAAGCTCCTGATATCTTTTATCTTATATGTGGAGGTGGCATTTTTTCTAAATTATACAAGAAGGTATAGACAATCAAAAACAGACATTCATATACATGAACTGCAGAATCATTTATATAACTTGGCCAATGTCAAAAGTTACATAGTATTTCTCAATACAATGAGTTAACAAGAGTTTGGCAATAAGTAACAGTGTGGATTTTTCTATATTTTCTTTTTTTTATTCCACTCTCAACCCAAAAAGGCAAGTAATGACTCACAGGGCTCTCAAGTATGCAAAATAAAAACTTAAATGACCTGTTGTGGTGTGTTTTGCGCACAACCAGCATGCATCGTTAACGCAATGGAAAATTTACGTATCCGAGCTTTAATTTCGGGAGCGCTGGTTGCGCTTTGGGAAGAGTCAGGGGAGAGACATGTCAGAGACACAGGGGAGAAACGCGGGAGATACGAGGGAGACCCGCACTTGCAACATGGTTCTGTCTGCATATGGTCCGAGCTCGGTACCATGTTAGAGCGGTGCTTTCACTGAGCGCCGCGGCTGTCATTACAAAGCGGCAGCAGCTGCACCAGGACGTGCACATTCGAGTGCATCGCTTGAATGTGCTTAGAGCAAATAACAGCAAGTGCCCGCTGTCACACATTTCACAGAAATTACATTATCAGCAGATAAAGGTTGTAAATCGTGGATCCGTGGAATATTTTCATCACTAGTTTATCCTGATTCACACAACACACCCACTTATACATTTTGGATAGTAAGAGCACACAATAAGTATTTTTTCAGCCTTTCAACCAACCTGTTTCTTTATTGGAGCCAGTTCTGTTCTGTCTCTGTGCCGTGTGAGCTCCTCGGAACATTAAACAGTGCGCTGACAGATTAGAAATAACGTAAGTACTTTGAATGGTGATAGATCTACAGTACTTTCCTCTGATTACTCACGTGCTACAACGCTCAGGGAACGAAAAAAAACACTTGCTTCACGCTGGATAACTTTAAAAATTAAACAGTTGCTCAGTGCTTCAGTTTGGCGCTGAAGAAGACAGCCAATCACTGCAGAGAACGGAACGGGTCACGTGCTGCTGCTGCTGCTGTTGCTCTGGAGGCGAGGAGGAGGCGCGACGTGCGCACAAACGGAAGACATGTGTCCCGGACCGTCCGGGTCACGGGACACATGTCATTTTGGTGGGGACTTTTTAGTCCTCACCAAATATTGGTGGGGACATGTCCCCATGGTCCCCACGCAAACCTACGCCCTTGCTGCAAATACATGTAATAATCTGTATTTAGGCCTGTATCACTTAATCAACCACTTGCACTATGACTGTAAACCTGCGCTGCTAATACTGACATTTCTTTTATAGTCTGTTTATTTTACTAAGGATGCACCAATACCAATATTAGTATTGTGCCGTTTCCACATACTTGTGCCGTTTCCACATACTTGTGCTCATACTCATTCATGAGGTCCCATGACTGTATATAAGATACAACGATGGGGCGTCTTGCTTCAGTGGGAGCAGGTGGTTGTGGGGGCACGACCCCACGATCATTAGGTCCAAAGACCAAAGCTCTGCCAATTGAGTCACTGTTGCCCCTAATAATTCCCAGATACCCCTAAAAAGCACAGATTTGTGGTATTTTAACCGTGAGCTATGACTTCTGACTGCTAAGCCGCGACTCACAGCTCCTGAGCCGCGACTCAGGAGCTGTGAGTCAGTGGTGAACAGTTCATAGAGATCTATACAAACAAATACCAGCTGATGAAGAGTGTGTAACATACTGATTACATGTAAACTATGCCTCCAGATCCATATTGTCTCAATAGAAATTCCCAGAAACCCCTAAAAAGCAAAGATTTGTGGTATTTTTAACTGTGAGCCTCGACTTCTGACTTCTGAGTCGCGACTCACAGCTCCTGAGTCAGTGGTTAACGAACATGGAGAGCTATATAAACACATACCTAGATGATGAAGAGTGTGTAACATACTGGTTACTTGTAAATATATGCCTCCAGATCCACAATGTGTCATTGATAATCCACAGATACCCCTAAAAAGTTAAATTGATAACCGTGAGCCACGACCCCTGAATGCTGAGCGTGAGCCGCGACTCAGAGCGCCTGAGTCACGCGAGTCACCGGAAGTTGCCGTGAGTCGCAAATCGTGCTTGCCCTCTCTCGAAGCGAGAGTGCTATCCACTCAGCCACTTTAAATCTGTATGTCAGATTTAACGTGGATAACTAAATGAAATAATTGTGGTTAATCATACTCTTTAAATTAATTAAGGAATCATTGTGGATCAGAGTTTACTTAATAACCTCAGACAAATACTTTTGCCAACTCTGCTCAGTTTTATGAAGTCAACTTATCTTAAAACATGACATTTCTCTTAAATGTCATGTTTTTTCCAATGAGCTTTGAAAGCAGCAGCGTGATGCATAATGCGTAATGACGTCACCGGCACATCCCGGAAGTTGTCGCGGTCATGGTGGACAGGGGACAGTGTTGGGACTTCAGGACATGTCGGTGTTTGGACTTCGTGTGAGTCTGCTCTGAGGACAGCGAGCGCATGTGGTGAGTATGTGGTGAATGTTTCAGGCGGCCGTGAAGTGACTTTGTGATGGCATTTATCCTCTGTAGCTGTAGCGATAGGGACAGCACAGGGATAAACAGTGGAGCCTTAATAACGCTACTTCTGTTGTAAAGTGTAGGCGTTTTGGCTCCTGTTTCATTTCCTGGGACTCGTCCACACATGATAAGAACCAGGGAAAAGTGAGGGACTTTCGGGGACCACTTTAGCTCCTGCTCTGGGGTTGGCACAGTCAAATCAGTAGGGCTGTTAGTGGACCAAGGAAAAACTTGGTTGACAACTATTAACTGTAGTTATATGTATTACCTACTTGAAATCTATGCAAAATAACAAAAGAAAGAACTAAACAAGGTTGCTATAATTTACATTCTCATTTATTTCAGCCTTAACTGAAATGCCAAGTATTGTGCTAAGTTGTGTCTATTCTTACTTTTGGGATTTTTATCTTATACATCCTATAAATTAGTCAGTGGATCATTTGGTGGAGGAGGCCATCAATTAAACGCCAAAAACAAATTGCCTCTGAAACCAGTAACAGTTTTGTAGTGTACAGGTAGTAGTAGCGGCCAACCAAAGGATAAAGGGGTGTGACAAAAGCCTAGATTTCTGCTAGTTTCAACCTAATTACACATGAAAAGGTCCCCCTTCCTCACTGAATCCAGTAGATGACACGTTCTGCCATTTTACGACTAAACCGACCAAAGGGAACTGGATGGTTCCACTGACTAAATAGAAGATTTGGGATAATCGGGACACGTTCTTGGTTCTGTGCATGTATGCCACAAGAGTGTAGAATCTTTTCGCTTCAAAGTCTTTCTGTGCAATAGGTCTAAAAGCTCAGTCTTATGAATGGCTTTTGTCTCTGGTAACTTATGTTTCGACCACAAAATCCTATTTTTTCATGAACAATACACTGATGTTTGTTCTTATAGAAATAAACTGTTGAGTCTTGTGAGGCTGGAAAGACCTGATATAAAGATGTGATAGAGGCCTAAAATAAATGGCAAACTGTTCTCTCAAAACTAGTTGGATGATTTCTTTCCATAGTTCACTTTTCTTGTGGGTTTGGGAAACTCTACTTACTAAGGCTGAATTATTGTTGTATACCTTGGGCCTTCTTGCTGCATAAACATTTAATTGTGTAGTTGCTATAACGCGGCAGCCTTAATTGGATGGAACGGTCAACCTTTCACTTGGGTATGACTGCTGATCTTTGTACTGGTAATCAATCATTAGACCCACCTATTCTTGTATCTTCAGAAAATACACACCCCTTAACCTTTATGCTGGCAAAGATCATGGTTTTTAACCAGAGTAAAAGATCAGTTTTTTTGATTGGACTGATGCTTAACCAATGACTAAAGCAGATTGTTTGACCCTTTGGACCCTGCTTTAGTCCAGCTAAGGTTCACAGCTATTGTTTCTCTGGTCCTGGCTACAAGCAAATTCTGTAGGGCATAGGTGATCGTCCTGTGAAGTTGTTGTAAAAGAACATTGGATTAATGAAACAGATGTCGGGCAGGAGAAGAAGGGGTAAGGGAATCAATCAAGTGTATTTTGTTGTTATATGTTAAGTTGTAAATATGTTTGTAGGAGTTATGTGTGTGAGTTTTTGAGAGGAGAGTCTTGTGCTGCCAGGTTCTGGTTAAATAGCCTTCTGTTCAGAAAAAAGGCCTTTTTATGAAAGGCCCTTTCAGCTTCAGCTTTACCTGAATCGTAAGAGTGAGAGGTTTATACACACAAACATCCATGTGTGCTACATTTTTTTTATTCCAGTAACTTCACTTTGTAACTTTGATTGTCCACTGTTTGGTAACACTGTTTATGTCCTGCTCAGGGACTGCAGAAATACAATTACTTTTATTTTGTAAAATAAATACCACAAATACTTTCAAATAAATACTTACAATTAAATAATTAAACTAATGTTAATACATCATACTTAGCTATAATTTCTGGTCTTTAAAAAAACACCCAGGAAAGAAACAGGCAAAATGTTAATCAATCAAAAACATTAAATGTCAATACAATAGACAAAGATGGAGACCATTTTAAGCACAAAACAAAAAACTGCTTCAATCCATTTCCTGATTTACTTGTCCTTGTCACTCTAAAATTGGCCACTCCCTTTCTCCACGCACACAAAGAGGACGCTCTAGACTAGAAGCCTGTTTTGTGTGTGCAGTGTCATTCAAACTAGTGCCTTTACTCATATACTTGTTCTATAGACGGAATGATATGAGTTAAGTGGATCGGGTTGAAGAGACCTTCTAATGGAGAGTATGTGAGTATTTTAAGCTGTCATTAATTTGATACTGTTAGATTTAAGTCATGTTCGGAATGGCATACTCGCTGGACAAGAATATCTGGTATATTACATACTATATACTATTTATGGTCACCGACACAATTAATGAAATTGTGGTTTTCAGGGTTTTGTATAGTTGCGTAAAACAATAGAAGACCTACCGAAGCCGTCTGCTTTCTCAAGCACTTATTAATGTTTAAGTTTTATTCACATTATTGCATAACAACTCTTCTGATAGTGTATTTCTCTGTTGTTTTTCCAGGTCAGCGTAAGACCTTGTCATCCATGCCTGTTGTCCCAGGCCACACACAAGCGGAAGATAATGATCCCATGAACCCTCTGCGCATCTCTGTAGGAGGCCTTCCTATGCTGGCGTCCATGGCCAAAACCACAGACTCTCGTTTCCGCCTAAAGTGGAGACCCATAGTCGCTGTGCTGCTCATTCTAGGTCTGGTTCTGCTGCTTTTCATGCACCTGAACCCCGGCTTCCACCCCAGAACCTCTACCAGCTGGAACTCCGGTCCCAGGCGGTCCGATCAGGAGGCCATTTACAATGACTCGTACCCCCTCACTCCACCAGAGCGCACTCCACAGGGCACCCGCTACCGCATCGCCGTCATTGCTGACCTGGACACAAGCTCACTCAGTGACAAGAAGCTGACCTGGATCAGTTACATGCGGAGAGGACATCTGCTGGTTTCAGAGAGTGGGGACAAAGTGAGTGTGGAGTGGGATGAAGATCGTGTGGTGCTGGAGAGCCACCTCGCCGAGAAGGGAAGAGGGATGGAGCTGTCTGAGCTAGTGGCATTCAACGGGAAGTTATACACTGTTGATGATCGCACTGGAGTGGTCTATCTGATTGAAGGAGACAAAGTTGTTCCCTGGGTCATTCTGCCCGATGGGGATGGCAGTGTTCCCAAAGGTTTGTTATTATATACAGTCTACCCTGTATGTAGTTAATAAACTCAGGTTTATTAACTATATTCTAAATGTTTATGAATCTATTCTTGAGATTAACTTATTCATCGTGTGTTCTTAGGTTTTAAAGCGGAGTGGCTTGCAGTGAAAGACGAGCATCTCTATGTTGGTGGTCTGGGGAAGGAGTGGACAACAACAGAGGGTGAATTTGTCAACAATAACCCTGAGTGGGTGAAAGTGGTGGGCTTCAGGGGAGATGTCCTGCATGAGAACTGGGTGCCCCGGTACAAGGCTCTGAAAGCAGCTGCAGGAATAGAACCTCCAGGTAATGCAATCTGAGATCTACAATGTGCACAAGCCTGTTTTGCCAGTCCCAGTGGTGATTATAACAATACTATAAAGTATAATTTTCAGTCTTCTGTACTTTACTTACTGTATAGCCCATATGATAGATTAGACTTACTCACTCCAATAAAAACATTGTTACAACAGCTATGCTAGATCAGACTTGTTTTCCCCACTTGTTAAAGTTTGTAATGTTACTTCCTGGTTGCAGATTTGGTATTGGAAGGAGTTGCTATACAAAGCAGAAAAGTTCAACTCTTCTGACAAGTAGAATGAGACCAGCTCATCTTTTAATGCTTCTGTTATAAGTTTACTCTTACATCAGACTGCAGTACTTTTACTTGGGAGATATAACTACAGTTGATTACCACAGTCAAGTGCTTACTTGACACAATGGCACACTTCAACAATGCCAAAGAGTCATCATTAACAAGTAAGACAGTGCTGTAGTAAATGTCATTAAAGCTGGTGTACCTAACATTCAAACCTCATTAAAAATAAATCAGAACTTCCACACCCCATATGAGTTACCTTTAACTCAATCTTATGGAGAACTAGTGTTGTTGTGTAAATCATTTGTTATTTCTCTGAGTTGTGTGTATAACCGTTCCGCTTTCCCCCAGGTTACTTCATTCACGAGTCGGCGGCGTGGAGCGACACGCTGCAGCGCTGGTTCTTTCTTCCTCGTCGTGCCAGTACACAGCGCTACGAGGAGACTGCAGACGAGCGGAGAGGCACAAACATGGTGCTCAGCTGTTCGGCAGACTTTAAAAACGTCCATGTGAGCCGCGTGGGAGAGCTCAACCCCACCCACGGCTTCTCCTCCTTCAAGTTTGTCCCCAACACAGACGACCAGATCATCCTGGCTCTGAAATCGGAGGAAGACGGCGGGAAAATAGCTACTTACATAATGGCCTTTACTATTGATGGACGCTTCCTTCTTCCAGAGACCAAGATCGGGGATGTGAAATACGAAGGGGTAGAGTTTATTTAGCACACTGGCAGAATGAGAAAAACTTGATTACAAAAGCCACACTGCATTGTGGGTCTGTCCTGTTTACATCACGTTCAATGGATTGAGTTCAAAGAGGGGGCAAAGATCCAGTTTGCAGAATTTATTGACATTTCTACTGTACAGTTTTTTAAATGATGAATGTAATTGAAGTGATACTTTCAACTGTGACTTTATCTGCAATGTTTTCATGTTCTACACAAAGCACACCAACTTCAACATGTGTAATGTTACACAACCTCATATTATTTTGAAGGACATATTGTTTAAATTAAGTTTTGATGTATGGATTCTTTGGGGCTTAGTAAAATTAAATACTCAAATATATTATAATTCTGTGATTTGTTCATTTTTCGTTTAAAAAAAATCGTTCTGTATTGCAAAATATTTTGTTTGGAGTGCAAATCTATGTGGTCCATTGCACAATACCCCAAATTTGGGTAGAAGTTAAACGAAACTTAAACCCCGCTCTGGGTTTGGCTTTGTTGCAAGGGACTTCAGATCCAGACTGGAGTTCATTCTTCTCTTGGGAAGGTAAGTTTTTGACTTTTTTTCATTATTATGTGGCTTCAAGGACATTGTTCTGACATGCAGGTTGGATTTGTGTCCAACCTTGTATTATAAAATAGCTCTAGGTCACCACATGTATGTATTTGGGTCTCGTAGCTAAGTTTTGTTCTTCCCCTTTTCTCCTAAAGGAAAAATGCTCTCCTTCAAAATGACAATACATCAGAGTTTATGGCTGTGGCTATTTTTCATGGTCAGCGGCGTGTGTGCGCAGTTCCGCGCCTTCAGTGAGTGCTTTGATGATTATTTTGTCTTGTATTTGAGTTGATATATGTGAACACAGCCCTTGTCTGCGCAGAGAGGAGCTCCACAGTGCAGGAGGGGGACGTGAGGCTCGCCGCCTCCAGACTCTCCTTCGGGGGTCGAGTGGAGATCTTCCACGCGGGACAGTGGGGCACCGTGTGCGATGACGGCTGGGACCTGGACGAAGCCCATGTGGTGTGTCGCCAGCTGAAGTTCCCCCGTGCACTGTCGGTCATGACGGGAGGAGAAGGCTATTACGACAAACCAGGTACATGTCCCCCATCTGCATGGGCGTCGGACTGGGGCGGTAAAGGGTACCGAGTACCCAGGGCCCAAGGCGGGGAGGGGTCCTCTAAAGTGTTTCTTTATATTTATATGTATTAGGCATTGTGGTATATTCATATTATTACAATTTGAATAAAAGGGGCCCTGTATAAAAATAACTAACGTTTTAACCTCAGTTTTCCTCTAAAAACAAATTTGTATGCTATATCAGGGCCCTGCCACCCCCTTACAAAAGATCAAATGGTACGACCCACATGTGCGCTTGTTGCTGTGTTGCTGCTGCTCAGTGCTGCTGCAGCGAGTTGACTTGTTTGACAAGCAGAAGCGGGAAAAATAGAAATGTCTTTTCCAAAGAAAGGAAAATCAGGATTTCAGAAAAGAAAAGAAAGACAGGACAGGGAGAAAAAGTGTAATGAGGGCAAGCAATTGCTTACTCAGTTCTTCCACACGAGAGGTGAGTATATAGAGACGTGTTAAGGCCACATCAGGAGAAAACCGAGAGACATTTGTTTCTGTATTCTAAACTCACGGAGAGCTAACAGTGTGCCGTGTACGTGGTAAAAAAAAAACGTTATCCAGAGTGACACACACAGACGCGCAGCTGTAAAGGGAGCTCACACACACTGCTGTCCACTTCTCCTTCAAAGGCAGGCAGCAAAGAGTTATTTTCATGTACAACCCTGTACCCTATATTCCCACTATTGTCGTAATCTGTCCGTCCGTGAGTCTTGCAGTCATAAGTCACGGGTCACTCACTGGCCTCTGCATTGGATCATCTGGTTATAACCACGCACCGATTTGGAGTTTTCTGGTGACATCTAGTGGTCAAAATAATGTAAATAAGTCTAATGGTCTAAAGGTTTCTAGCTCTACAATTATCCTAGTGTGTAAACAAGGGTGAAATGAGACTTTCTGGTGTGTAAACTATTGCTTTTAAGCCAGAAATGACAACTGACAATCACAGCCCAGACCATGCCCAACTGTAAGCCCCCCTTCTTCTCCACTGGTGCCATTTTTACAGAAACATTTCAAATGTTCATGTGGGCGGAGTAAGGCTAGGCACAGGTGTTTAGTTGAAAATGGAATAGGCTTATTTCACATTTCCAAACATTCAGTCACCTTTGGAGCTGCTCAATACAATACACAAAATGCAGCTAGAAAGTATTTTTGGGGAAATTTGTATTGGCTTGAGAATCTTTTGTACACTTCCAGTGACTGTTGCAGGAGGGGAACGTTCTTTCAGTAAGCTTAAACTTGTAAAGAACTATTTAAGATCCACAATGTCCCAAGAGAGACTGAACAGCCTTGCAATACTCTCCATAGAAAGTCAGTTGGCCAAAAACCTGGACTTTAAAGACCTGATCAGAAACTTTGCAAATGCAAAGACCCGTCAGTGGGCTTTTGATAAACATTGACCATACATTTATCTTTGTACTACATTGATGGTTCTCAAACAGTGTAGTTCTAGTTTTTGTTAAATGTTTACCTTTTTTTGGGCTTGTCCCTGTTAATAAATAAAATGGACATGGTACTACTGTTATCAACCTGGTGAAGCCGTTGTTTGAAAATAAAGCAATGTTTATTGTATATACAGGCTACTCAATTAATTTTTTACATGAGGGTAATAAAAAATATTGTAAACAATATTGATGATAATAAAACCAAAGGACATATATATATATATATATATATATATATATATATATATATATATATATATTATATATATATATATGAAACGTGTAGTGGGGGCCCATTGAGACTGTTTGTACCCGGGGCCCAGAATTTGGTGCTACCCCCCTGCCCATCTGCCACAAGAGGGCGCTGTAGCAGTGTTAACTGTTCACTCCTGTTCCAGTCACTAAAATCAACATTTTAACACCAGCTGAATAAAAATGTATGTGCTAATACATAGCTTTATTTCTAACTCCCATGTCTTACTTTGGCATTTTGTGGAATCCTTTTAAGAACAGTGCAACGATCTATCTGCAAGTCATCATTCCTACTTTTATTCCATTAATAGGAGTCCTCTCTGGATCCAGACCTGCACCTCTTTTTAAAATCATATTTCTCTTCTATTTATCATAGCATCGGGGCCAATATGGATGGATGACATGAAATGCAAAGGCACAGAGAAGTACCTACATGCTTGTACTTTCAAAGGATGGGGAATTACTGACTGCACCCACAAGGAGGACGTAGTCATACAATGTGATGCAGGTAATGCAATTATTAGAGAAGGATTGTAATGATTGCTTGTCATCCAGGTCTGCGACAATGCTTATTTATTCATATTTATTTCTATTTTACAGCTGGTTATATGGAGAGTGCAGCACTATCATCCTACCTCCTGGACCACAGTATTAATTTGTCTGATGAGCTAGGGGAAGTCTTCAGCGATGAGAGATTCTGCGACCTCTCAATCACTGCTCAAAGTTCTCTACAAGATCAGGAGGACACCACACTGCACGATTCAACAACACTATGTGCTCACAAAGTGATACTCTCACAAGTGCACGCCTTCAATATCACCCAAGAAACTCAAAACATTACAGTTCAAATTGCTTCAAACTGTCTTCCACATTTTTCTTCTTTTATTAGGTAAATATGAACCCTTTTTTGAAATGATGGTTCTTTATCATTAAAGCTGGTTTACCAAACTTTCAAATAACAAAACAAAAAAAATTCCAGAAATCCATATATTTCTACAATGGTTTGGCTTTATCACACATTATTAGGCAAGCATTTAGGCTCAACCCAAAGTTTCAACTCACAAGGTTCTTTCTCACGAATATTAAAAAGACAACTTGTGTATTATTTATGAAAGAATAATGTTTAGGTACCCCAGCTTTAAGTAAGTGGGTCTTGGTGATGTAATTGAGTATAATATTATATTTGTGCTCTATGTTGTAGATACCTGTACACACGTAAGATGGAAGTCTCCTTTTCCTCTGTGCAATGTCTTCACTGGTTGGCTTCTCAGTTTGGGGTGGAACAACTGATGAGAGACACAGGACTTCTCTTCAACCAAATAATTCCTGACGATAGCTCGTTTGAAACACAAGTGTCTATTTATGAATATGCATTCGAAACCAAAGACTTGCAGCTGCAAGAAATGTGCATCCGGTATTTGGTCTGGAACTTTGAAAATTTCACCATGAGTCCACTTTGGACCCGCATTTCAGAGGACCTTCTGAGTGGCCTTTTGCACCGCTCAGATCTAGTGGTCCAGGACGAGTTATTTGTGCTTCAAGCTGTTGAAAACTGGATATCGAGCAATGATAACACCAGTTTAGACAAACAGGCCAAACTATTATCTCTTGTGCGTTTTCCCATGATTCCTGCTGAACAGCTGACCGACAGTCAAATGACATTGAAATCCTTACTGTACAGCACACATAAGGATGTCTTCAATGATTGCATGCTCAAGGCCCTTCAGTTTAATGTCCAGCTTTTAACTAATATTAAATCTCGAGAGAAAATGTCCGTAGAAGATGTTTTTTACCAACCTCGGATCTACACCTCTGCCTTATGGGCGCTGTCATTTGGCCCCAATCTACAGAAGTCATCCATGTCAAGTGGCTACAATGACGGCAGGTCCAATCGAGGCAGAATCAGGTCACAAGCCTATGGAGCTTACAACTACAACAACAATGATGGCAGAACCAAGGCGTTCAACGTACCATATCACAGCAGCACCATCTTCAAGGACAGGGAGGTCTCGTGGTCTGCAGATATATTTGTTAACCAATACGAGTGTTCAAATCGAGGTATAAGGTGCCAGTCTCTCCCAATGGCCAGGTTTCTAAGTCATAACAGCAACCAGTTTCCAGGTGTTGTGTTTCGCAACAGGCTGCTACTGATGTGCGAGAACAGGTATATTTGTGAGGTTCAAGACTTCAAGGATAATAATGCATTTATTCCCAACAACGGCTCTCAGTCTCTCACCTACCCTTGTCCAAATGACCAGTACAAATTCATTTTTGTAGCGCGACCGGAGTATATCTGAAGAGAGATTTTATTTCCATTTCATCTAATTACATACACTGTTTATATGGTCATTTACAGTTAGAAATGTTGATGTTTTACCCTAAACATATAAAACCCTAACCCACATAAAACCAATAAAATGTGTTTTTATAATTTATATATCTATCATTGTCTTTTATTACTAAATTAAAACTGATTGAAGCTATTTCTCAATCCCTCAAATGTCTTGCAGTCTTCCTGTATTGCTGTGTCACCTATAGGAGAGGACAAGCAGAGGCATGTTAGAACAGCCCACAACATAACATTGCTCCAGCGAGTGAGAAGATTTATTTGGGAAAGGAATTGTGATGAAAAGCTTTATTTTCATATGTGTAGGGCAGTGTGTATTAAATTGACCAGTTTTGTAGCCTAATTTCCATACATATGTCCCACATTATTCCCCCTGAACAAACACTTAATCAAGTTTTATTTGTAGAGCGCCTTTTCTACACAAGGCAACACATTTAAAATCCCACAGGTCATTAAAAACAAACACCTATGAGACACAAGGAGAACATGCAAACTCCACACAAAAGCACCGTCTGGAGGTGGAATTAAACCCAGGTAGGCCCATAAAGGAAGTGGGACAGTGCCATTGGCTGGTATTGTTTTGGAGGTCGAACTGTAACCAGAGACGCTGCACCAAGAGAAGTTACCCTGCTGTAGCAGTAACCTCCAGCTACACACATTTTTTAATACATATTAGTAATTCAATAAATAAGATACGTATTGTTATTATTATTATTATACTTCCTTGAAATGTGATGAAGATTTATATATTTATTATTGTTTTGTTTTAATTTTATTATCATTATTGCATATATTACCTTGTTTGCTATGTCTTTTTTTGACTTCTAAATTATCATTACATGTGGACTTTCTTTCACTGAATATATGGCTGGTAGATGTGGTGGCGGTGGTGGTGTGATGGACCCCTACTGTATAAGCTTGTGCTTCTGGGAGTTCCATTCTCACGTTGTAGCACATGAACTTTTTAGTGACTGTGAAATTGTGAATAAACTAAACTATAACCTTTAAAAAACTGTTTTCACCTTGCTTTTATAAAAACATTGTTACAACAGCTATGCTAGATCAGACTTGTTGAAGTTTGTAATGTTACTTCCTGGTTGCAGTTGAGATAAGGGTATTGTTGCCGTACAAAGCAGAAAAGGTCAACTCTTCTGATGAGTAGAATGAGACTAATGATCGGCTCATCTTTTAATGCTTCTGTTATAAGTTTACTTTTAAATCAGACTGCAATACTTTTACACTACAGTTGATTACCACAGCCAAGTGCCTATTGACACAATGGCAGGTGAAACAGATCGGTAGTAAACTGCATTAAAGCTGGTGTACCTAACATTCAAACAGCAATGAATTATAATTTTTTCTAGTTTTTCCGTCAAGTTTTTAGATCCGCATTTTCAGACTGAAAAGTGAAAAAGAGGACCACTCTCAGCCCAAAGCGTCCAATAGTGACTCACTGGGCTCTTTCTTACGAATATGCAAAATACGACGTAGATAAAGACTGATTTATTCACATTTTACTTTTAAGACTCTTTCTGTTAAGATAACTAATATAATCTGTTATTTATGAAGATGAAATAAGTTGGGAACCCCAGTCTAAGTTTATTTGAATGTTCTATATTGTTTTATAGGCTATGCACGCACCACTTCCGGGTAAGCTAAAGCCCCACTTCACTTTCTGTTCGCGGGAAACAGCTTGAGTTTCACTGGAGTTCAGCAGTGGTTTACACGAGTTTCCAAAATAATGCTCAAGCGGGAATTAAACTGTGAGGATACTGGGCATTTTTGGGACACAACAGTGCTCTTTGATTGTGCTGTCATTGTGTTTTTTATAAAGTTTAAAAATCGCTCTGAGTGGCCTCAGTCAAAACTCTACCTCAGAGAGAAAGCACAGCGACACTTTTGGGTCAGTCTCACAGCTGAATGTATCAATCTAATTACCAAAAAACGTCACTAAAACTCTCCTAAATGCCATAAGATAGCATGGGCAGGAAGTGAACGGGCTGATCTGCGTTAACAGGAAATGACATCACGCCTCCCCGTGCATATAGCCCATTGCTGTGCTAGACCTGTCTCTGTGTGTGCATACTTTTGTGTTCTGTTTTTGGGGGAATGGGGGTAAAAAATAACAAACAATCAGAACTTCCACACCCCATATGAGTTACCTATAACTCAATCTTATGGAGAACTAGTGTTGTTGTGTAAATAATTTGTTATTTCTCGGAGTTGTGTGTATAACCGTTCCGCTTTCCCCCAGGTTACTTCATTCACGAGTCGGCGGCGTGGAGCGACACGCTGCAGCGCTGGTTCTTTCTTCCTCGTCGTGCCAGTACACAGCGCTACGAGGAGACTGCAGACGAGCGGAGAGGCACAAACATGGTGCTCAGCTGTTCGGCAGACTTTAAAAACGTCCATGTGAGCCGCGTGGGAGAGCTCAACCCCACCCACGGCTTCTCCTCCTTCAAGTTTGTCCCCAACACAGACGACCAGATCATCCTGGCTCTGAAATCGGAGGAAGACGGCGGGAAAATAGCTACTTACATAATGGCCTTTACTATTGATGGCCGCTTCCTTCTTCCAGAGACCAAGATCGGGGATGTGAAATACGAAGGGGTAGAGTTTATTTAGCTCACTGGCAGAATGAGAAAAACTTGATTACAAAAGCCACACTGCATTGTGGGTCTGTCCTGTTTACATCACGTTCAATGGATTGAGTTCAAAGAGGGGGCCAAGATCCAGTTTGCAGAATTTATTTTACTGTACAGTTTTTTAAATGATGAATGTAATTGAAGTGATACTTTCAACTGTGACTTTATCTGCAATGTTTTCATGTTCTACACGAAGCACACCAACTTCAACATGTGTAATGTTACACAACCTCATATTATTTTGAAGGATATATTGTTTAAATTAAGTTTTGCTTTTTGGATTCTTCGCTTAGTAAAATTAAATACTCAAATAGATGACTTTCAACCACGGGACCAAAACTGATGACGTAATAAGCGTCCGCCATGCTGGTGGTATACTGATTTGACATGCTAGGCAGGTAACAGCTAAGCTAGCTAGTTCAAAAACTCTCTGGAACTACATTGAACAAAGAATTCTGAACATCAGCGGTGAGTTACCCATTTATATACTGAACCTAAATCCATAATCAGATCTTCTATTTCATATGTTGCTTCGCCCTTTAGGCTTCGCTAATGCATATCTCTCCGGAAGCATCGCTTCCCGCTCTGAGAAGATCAAACAATCCACCCTCCAATCACCTTCACGTCCTGGCGTAGGTCTGTCCCCTATAAATAGGGTCATGCACCACAGCTCTTCTCCTTTCTCTCTCAGCTTGCCTAAGAGAAGCTTCGATTCATTGGAACAAGGATGTCTTCAAGCAAGTTTGCCGCGCCTGAAGATCTGTCACGTGCCCAGCGGCACTCTTCCAGGCTGACCGCCACGAGTCCTGCGTCTTCTGCCTGGGCTGGCATCATGCCGCGGAGGAAAGCCCCAGCTGTGTGGCTTGGGGAGCGCGATAGACGCAGCGGGCTACTCAACGCCGGCTGGAGTGATGCCCGTGGTGGCCTTACTCATGGTGTGCCACCCTCCGCCCACACTGCTGCTTCGCCTGGCTCAGCGGAGATGTCAGGCTCTGGATCTGGACCAGGGTCCGACTACGATGAGGGGAAGTTGGTGGAGCCCTGCGAGGACGATGCCCAGTCCTCCCACTCCCAGGACGTGGGGCAACGCGAGCGCTATCCCCTGGATCGTTTCCCGCATCTGACCGCATCGGCTGTGGTCAGGATGCGTATGGCGATGCCGGTCCAGCCCGCCTCGCCTCCGGGGGACTATTTACAGTCCCTCGCTCCCTCCCCCCGGCGACGCAGACGTGAGGTGGTCGCTCCCAGGATGGAACCGCTGCTACATTATGCCAGCCGTGAGTGGTATAGGCCCATGGCAGCCAAATCCCCGGCCTTGGCGTACAGAGTGTATGCAGGAGTGGACGCATGGCCTAGGCCGTCAGGCGTTCCTCCCATAGAGGACGGAGTGCGTCTGTCTCTGCTTCCAGCTTCATCTCTGTGGTCTGGACTGGCAGCTCCCTCCGAGCGGGACAAGCTGACCATCTCCATGGTGGATAGATGTTATGCCAATGCAACACAGGTCGTGGCTTTGGTGAACAACATGACTCTCCTCGCTGCTTCCCTCGACACTCTCATCCGGGGTCGGGAGGAGCTCTCCCGGACGGAGATCGAGGAGGCTGAGGATACTATGGCCACGTTCCTCCGCATGGCCCAGGGCTTAGCGGTGGACGGTGGTAAGTCCATGTGTGCGGCCCAGGTCGCCTGCCGCCATCTCTGGTTGGGCCTGGTATTAAAGCCATCTCATCGTGGAAACCTAGTGCTGGGAAAATTGCATCTGTCGGCCAAGCTCTGCCAAACGAGCTGAACACGTTCTACTGTCGCTTTGAATCCGCTGATGCCTGTCCTACTGTATTCCCTGAGTGTTTCAATCAAGTTGCCTTCACCGTGACTCAGGAGGAAGTCAGGCGTGTCTTGTCCAGGACCATAGTCCGGAAAGCCCCAGGCACGGACGGCATCCCTCCTCGTGTCCTGAAACTGTGCTCTGGGCAACTTGCCCCTGTGCTAACAGACATTTTCAACCTGTTGCTAAGGAACTGTACTGTGCCGAACTGCTTTAAAGAGTCGACCATCATTTGAGTTCCTAAGAAAACTTCTTTGACATGCCTGAATGACTATCGTCCTGTGGCCCTCACTCTGTTCTTATGAAAACTTTGGAGCGGCTTGTGCTGGACTTCATTAAGAGCCAGATCCCTGTGAGTGTTGACCCGCTCCAGTTTGCTTACAGACAGAACAGGAGTGTGGAGTCTGTCTACAGTCACTTGGACACTAGTAAATCTGTCGCGAGAATGCTTTTCATCGATTATAGCTCTGCTTTTAACTGCCTTGTCCCAGGTAAACTGATTGAAAAGCTCATGTCTCTCGGTTTAAGTGTTGCCATGTGTAAATGGATTTTTAGCTTTTTAACTGACAGATCTCAGAGAGTGAAAATCAATGACTGTTTTTCGGATGTTGTTTCTGTGAGCACTGGTTCTCCTCAGGGATGTATTTTGAGTCCTTTGCTTTTTACTTTGTACACTCAAGAATGTGTGTCCTCCTCTGACTCGAACCTGATCATCAAATATGCTGATGACACCACCATCATCGCTCTCATCAGTAACAATGATGAATCCTCTTATAGAGCAGAGATACAAAATGTGGTTCAGTGGAGTAAAACTAACAACCTCCAGTTGAACGCATCGAAAACATGTGAACTGGTCTACGACTTCAGTCGCAATAGTTCTCATTTGCCTGTCGTAATCGACATCTCCCAGGTGCAGATCGTAGAGGAGTGCAAGTTTCTGGGTTTAACTCTGTCTAACGACCTGAAATGGGTTAAAAACACTGACCGAGTCGTTAAGAAAGCTCGTCAGCATCTGCGTAAACTTAGAGAATTTACCACTAACTCTAAGATTCTGCTTTACTTTTATCGCTGCACCATTGAGAGTTTGCTTGTTGGTTCTGTGTCTGTGTGGTTTGGAAACATCACAGATAAAGAAAAGAGAGCTTTAAAAAAGGTGCTCCGCTCTGCAAAGAGGGCCGTGGGCTGTGAGCTTCCTGTTCTGGAGGTTCTTTATAAATCCAGACTTTTAAACAAAGCTCTTAGGATTGTCAATGACCCTTCTGGCCACCCTGGAAAAGCCATGTTCCAGCTTCTTCCCTCTGGCAGAAGATATCGCTCTCTGAGATGCAGGACATCTCGTTACGCTAACAGTTTTTATCCACAAGCTGTTATCTGTGTGAACAGAGCACTTTAATGATTTGCACTTGTTTTGAAACTGTTTTAGTCGATCCGATTTCACAGTGACATTTGTTTACTGTTTTAGTTGTTTTATTTTTGTCTTTTAATGTTGTTTTATGTCTGTATTTGTCTGTGCACACTGGAGACTTTTTGCTAATGTATTCCAATGTGGGTTTTTTTACTGCAAATGCCAAATAAAACTGAATCTGAATCTGTCACCTCTCAGGGACGCTGATAAGCGGCGCCTTCTGGATCTGCCGCTCTCCTCCTCTTCCTTGTTTGGATCGGACATCCAGACCCTCGTGGAGCGGATGGAAACAGCGTCCAAGGCCTCCGCTCAGTTGGCACAGCATCTCCGTCCTCCGCGGGTTCCTCGCCCCACGGCACGGCGTCCGGGTTATGTGGAGCGAATAACCCGTGACCGCCCGCCCCCCCCCGCATCGTGCAGAGCCTGGAGGCTCTCTGGGTCCAGTGCGTGGGAGACAGCGAGCTCGTGACCAGCGGAGGAGCGGCAGCCACTCCGGCTCTCCAGCTACAGGGAGGGGAGGGAAATACTTGAATTAAGGCCGCAAGCAGGCCCGTTACTCCCATAAAGAGTAAACTTCTTTCCCTTTTTCCTCTCACTCAGCGCTTGGCCAACGCTGCTCCTCTACAGGGCGTCTGGAGCCTCTCTCAGCGCGCTGCGAGGTGGCGCGTTGGAGGCAGGCTCCAGGTTTGCTGTGCACTCCCCGTGGTTTTGCCTCCCGTGGGCAGGGAGTGCGTGATAGGCAGCACCAGCTCACAGCGCTCCGTGTGAGAGGCACAGGGCCGCAGCTATCCAGAGAAATAAGGGGGACTGCTCGGGCCCCCTCAGTCTCCAGTGTTCGGGGGCGGGGGCCCGGCTCAGCGGAAGCAAAGCACGCCTGCCCTCTTGCTGCCACCCGGCAAAAGGTCCAGGGCCAGGGCTAGTGCTCAGCCCTCCTCCCAGGGGCCCCCCACTATCCAGAGCAATAAGGGGGACTGCCCCCTCAATCCACAGTGCTGGGGAACGGGGGTTTGGCTCCACGTAAGCGCAGCGTGCCTGCCCTCACTCTGCCGCCCGGGAAAAAGCCCAGGGCTGCAGCTAGGGCTCAGCCCTTTTCCCAGGGGCCCCGCACTATCCGATGCCTCCCCAGGAGGGACATCTGTGGGCGGGCCAGACCTTACTCCCTCCTCCCATCCCGCCGTGCTTCCCTTGACTCGTTTTGTCACCGTATGGGAACAGGCAGGGCTCCTGGGAACACCGTGGATACGCAGAGTGCTGCGTCGGGCTACGCTCTCCAGTTCTCCCGGCGGCCCCCTCCTTTCTGCGGCATTCTCCAGACAAGGCTACGCAGCCCGGAGGACGCCGTGGCGCTTCACAGGGAGGTCAACGCGCTTCTGCAGCGCGGCGCGGTAGCGGAGGTAGACCCACTCAAGGCAGAGACAGGGTTTCACTCTCCATACTTCATTGTCCCCAAAAAGAGCGGGGGGGTGCGGGTGTGTGGAGTGTGTGGAGGCGGCGCTAGAACCCCTTCGACGTCAGGGCTCCAGAATACTGACGTATATCGACGACTAGCTGATCCTGGCCTCCTCTTGGGAGGAGGCGCAGGATCACACGTCCAGAGTGATGAACCACGTTGCCCGCCTAGGGTTTGTGATCAATATGGACAAAAGCTCCCTGTGCCCGGCCCAGGAGATTTTGTATCGGGGGCTGGTCTTGAATTCCAGGAGCATGACGGCTTCACTCTCGCTGGAGAGACAAGCGGCGGTTCAGAACCTGGGCCGGATCGTTCCGGCCCAGGTTCACAAGGTGCACAAGCGCACAAGGTGTGGCCCAATTGGCTCCTCTACGCCTTCCCGCCTCTCCGGCTCTTGGCAGCCCTGCTTTACAGGGTGAGGAGGGAGGGGGTCTCCATCCTGGTGGTGGCGCCGGACAGCCCGGGAGCCAGGTGGTATCCGGACCTGGTGAGCATGGTTGGGCCAAGCTCGGTCCGCCTTGGCCCAATCCGGACCGTCCCGATGCTCTGAGACAGGCAGGGGGAGCCCTTTACTCACGCCCTGTCCTGGGACACAGGTTCATGGTTTGGAGGCTGAAAGGGGGAAACTGTTGAGCCTTGGCCTCCCTCCCTCAGTGGTCGCTACTCTTCAGGGTGGGAGGGCTACATCCACCACCAAAGCGTATGAGGTTCGCTGGAAACTCTTCGCCTCTTGGTGCGTGGACAGAGGCCTGGACCCCACCTCGTGTTCCATCCAGGAGGTCTTGGCCTTTCTCCAGTTTTTGCTGGAGAAGGGAAGGGCGGCCGCCACTCTGGGTGTGTTCGCGGCGAGCATTTGGTAGCCACTCTGCGCGTAGCCACCCCTTGGTGAAGCGCTTCCTCCGAGGGGCCCGCAGGATCAGGCCTCCCCTCCGGTGGTTGGCTCCGTCTTGGGACCTTCAGGTGGTCTTAGCTGGTCTTTCGGGGCCTCCATTTGAACCTCTGGACAATGCGACCATTGCCTGTTTGTCCTACAAAACGGCATTGTTGTTGGCGTTGGCTTCGGCCAAGAGGTCTGGGGATCTGTGCGCCCTTTCCGTGCAGCCGTCTTGTTTGTCCCTCCCCGATCGGGAGGGCATGATGGAGTTGTGGCCTAAGCCGGCCTTCCAGCCCAAGGTCGTCACGTCATCTTTCAGATCTAGGGTGATCAGGGTGAGACCATTTTTCGAGCGGCGGCATAGTCTCTGCCCGGTCAGGGCTGTGAGATGCTATTTGGACCGCATGTCTGACCTCAGACGGTCGAATCAGTTGTTTGTGGGGTTTGGCACCAGGAGTCAGAGTGCCGCTTTGTCTCCACAGCACTTGGCCCACTGGCTTTGCCTTGCTATCCGTTTGGCGTATGAAGCTCAGGGCTTGCCGCCTCCGGCCAGTTGAGGGCTCACTCCACTCGCGGGGTTGCCGCTTCGGTGGCTTTGTTCCGTGGCACTTTGGTGGAGGGGATCTGCAGAGCGGCGCCTTGGTCGTCCTCCTCGACCTTTGTGCAGTTTTACCTACTAGATGTGGCCTCTGACTCTGTGGCTCATTCGGTTTTGAGTGCAGGGCGGCCCTAGTTCCTCCTTCGACAGACCTCGGTGGGGACCGGTCTGCAGGTGGAGGGTTGTGTGGAGAGGTGTTGGCGCTCTTGGGAGAGGCGGCCTGGACACCTCTGCAGTAGGGATAGGCGCTCTTGGGAGAGGCAGCCTAGACCCTTCTGCAGTCTGCTTTATATTCCTGGGGTTCAGGCGCTCTGGGAGAGGCTCCCTGCCCAGGTTTGTTCTGAATTCTTTCCTGCTTTGCAGGTTGGGGAATGCGAGGGCACTCTAAGGAGAGGTGGCCCTGCATCCCTTTCTCTATGGCTCGTAGGACCTCCGTCTCTACCGCTTGGTTGCGGTATGAGCACGTGGGTCACGAGTTTGCTCCAATCACCAGAGTTCATGCCTGCTGGGAGTACATTGGTCTGGGCTTCGCTATGTTATGCATTAGCGAAGCCTAAAGGGCAAAGCAACATATGAAATAGAAACCCCAGTTACCTAATGTAACTAAGGTTCTATGAATATGTTGCCCAGCAGGCCTGCCCTCTCTTATTTGGCTGAGTTCGAAAGGAGAAGAGCTGTGGTGCATGACCTTATTTATAGGGGACAGACCTACGCCAGGACGTGAAGGTGATTGGAGGGTGGATCGTTTGATCTTCTCAGGGCGGGAAGCGATGCTTCCGGAGTGATACTGACGTAACATATTCATAGAACCTTAGTTCCATTAGGTAACTGGGGTTTCTTCAAATGTGTCCTAAAATGTTCTTTTCATGTTAATGGTTACTTCCGGGTTTATCACAATCGCTTTTTGTCACATTAAAACAGTATTTGTGTCATTAAAACAGTATTTTCGTCATGAAAACTTTAACAAATAATTCTGAAAACCTCAGAGCATGTGTGTTAAGGATGTATATGTATACTGTATTCTCCGATTAACATTTAATGGTGTTGATTGATTGGTATTTGTTTATTGAGAGTGGCTAACTTCTCTGCACAGACAAGTAGTGACAGGCACTGAAAGCTCGTTGTACTTGTATTATTGTAAATTATAATTAAATATTCGAATATCTAAATTAATAAACAAACTGTAAGGGACCGATGGTGTAGCAGGAAACACACAAACTGTTTAATTACTAAGGCTTTTTAATTAGCCAAAAAATAAGCCAAACAATACAAATAAATGAGGCCAAAATCAAATGTACAACTGAACATGACAAACACTGACCTAACACAAGACACACCAGGGGAACATTTAAGCTGGATGATCAGACCAACTATTAACTAAAGGGGGTAAACAAGACTACACAAAACAGATACATTTACTTAACTAATTAAGGATAAAGTTAATAGTAATAATATGACTAATAATAATAATAATAATAATAATAATAATAGATGAATGCTAATATATGCTTATACTGAATATTAGAATATAAACTCAAATGAATCTCCCCAAACATCCCCTCTTCTGGACCTGCCATGGTTCAGGCCATAGGGTGGAGCCTGGAGGTAACACCCTCAGCTGGAGTGGGTGGAGTCAGCTCACAGGAGTGTTAGCTCCAATTGTGAGGGAGGAGTCAGCCCTCACATACCCCCCCTCTTCAAAATGTTTCACTGTGGCTGCGGAAAGATAGTCAGCGGTGTGATTCTCCTTTCCGGGAATGTGCTGGACCACAAATCTGAACGGCTGCATTGCGATATACCATCTGGTGATTATCCCATTGGTGTCCCGCATCTTCTCCAGCCACTGCAGAGCCTTATGGTCTGTCTGCAAGACGAACTGACGTCCCAGCAGATAATACTTAAAGGAGTCCAGCGCCCATTTTATGGCCAAAGCTTCCTTTTCAATGGTTGCATACCGCACCTCCCGGGGGAACAGCTTGCGGCTTATGTATGCAACCGGGTGTCTGTCTTCCGGCGGTCCTTGCAGCAGCACCGCTCCAATGCCCCGGTCCGATGCGTCTGTTTGCAAAACAAAGTCTTTGTCAAAATCCGGAGAGAGCAACACTGGATCCTTACTCAAGGCTTGTTGAATGTCCTTGTACGCCGCTATCCTCTCTTCTGTCCACTTCAGCTGATTCGGTTGCTGAGAGCCAGTCATATCTGTCAGAAGTGCCGCTCGAGCAGAGAATTGTGGGATGAAGCGATGATAAAACCCGGCCATCCCTAGGAAAGACCTTAACTGCTTCCTAGTTTGTGGCAATGGACAAGATGCAATCGCTTCAATCTTTTTAATCTGCGGTTTGATTACCCCACCTCCAATTATGAAGCCAAGGTACTGGGTCTCAGCCTGGGCCAGAGAGCACTTTGCTGGGTTTAATGTGAGACCAGCTGCCTTTAGAGCTCCCAGAACCTTTGCCAGATGCTCCAAATGTTCCCCCCAGGTGGTACTGAAAATAACAATGTCATCCAGATAAGCACAGGCATACTCTGAATGACCACACAGTACCTGGTCCATCAATCGTTGGAAGCTTGCTGGGGCGCCATGGAGACCAAATGGCAGAACCGTAAACTCAAACAATCCTCAGGGTGTGCGGAAGGCCGTGAACTCCTGTGACTGCTGTGCGAGGGGAACCTGCCAATATCCTTTGCAGAGGTCAATGGTGGTGAGGTACTTGGCCTTTCCCAATCGCCCAATCAGGTCATCGACTCGGGAAGGGTTGGATAACAATCAAACTTTGAGACAGAATTTAAGTACCTGAAGTCTATACAGAACCTGATCGCCCCATCCTTTTTAGGAACCAGCACCACAGGATTACACCATTCACTTTTTGATGGCTGAATGATTCCCAGGGAAAGCATTAGATCCACTTCCTTCTTCAACGCCACCAGGAGCCGCTCAGGTATTCTGTAACTCATACGCTTAAGGGGTGCATCAGGTTTCAGTACAATCGTATGTTCCACCACACTTGTTCGGCCCGGATATTCCGAAAACACATTATCAATGAGTGGCTTTACCTGGGATTTTTGTTCTTCACTGAGGTGAGAAATATCAAGATGGGAACGTTGAGTTATAGGTAATTATTGATCATCCACCTCGTCTTCTTCCTCCACCTTCCGGATCAGCATCACCTCCGCCATTTTCTCCTCTCTGGGAAACCACTCCTTGAGAAGGTTAACATGGAGGATTCTTTTGGAGCGATGACGCCCAGGCATGGAGACTTCATATGTGGTGGGGCCAATCTTTCTTGTGATGTCATAGGGCCCTTGCCACTTTGCTAGGAGTTTGCTGTCACTGGTGGGCAACATGACCAATACCTTGTTTCCAGGTTCCAAATTTCTGTGGCGTGCTGCCCGATCGTACCACCTCTTCTGATCATGTTGTGCCGCTTTCATGTTCTCCTGAGCCAGATCACTCATCTTTTGCAGCCTTTCACGCATCTGAATGACAAAAGAAATTACATTAATGGGCTCCCCCCTCCCCTGATCTCCCTCCCATGTCTCCTTCAACAAAGTCAATGGGCCCCTCACTTCATGTCCATATAAAAGTTCAAAGGGAGAAAACCCGGAGGAGGCCTGAGGTACCTCCCCATAGGCAAAAAGGAGGTAAGGGAGCCACTGATCCCAATCGGAACCAGTGTCGTTCACAAACTTACGAAGCATTTGTTTGAGGGTTTGATTGAACCGTTCTGTCAAGCCGTCCGTTTGTGGGTGATAGGGGGTTGTCCGTACACTGCGAATACCCAGCAATTTGTAGACCTGCTTCAAAAGTTCAGACATAAAGTTAGTTCCTTGATCAGTCACAATTTCGCTTGGGAAGCCCACTCTGGAAAACAGCTGGATGAGGGAAAAGGCCACAGTTCTTGCCTTCACATTGCGTAAAGGGAAAACTTCTGCATATTTTGTGGCATAATCTGTAACTACCAACATGAATCGATTTCCTGATTTGCTTTTCTCCACTGGACCAACCACATCCATTCCAAGGCGGTCAAACGGAATTGTTATTGTTGGGAGAGGCTGGAGCGGAACTTTAGTGGGAGTTCGGAGAGTGGTTCTTTGACACTCAGGACAGCTTTTGCAAAATTGGACAACTGCAGAGCGTAGGCCAGGCCAATAAAAATGACGCTTGATACGTGCCATGGTCTTATGTTTCCCCAGGTGGCCAGCCCAAGGAATAGAATGGCCCAAAGTAAGTATAACCTCTCGGACAGTTTGTGGCACTACCAGCTGTTTGACTTGACCTTGCTGACGATATAAAATGTCCTTTTGTAAGAAAAATTCTCTCGCTGACTCTGTAGAGTCTCCATCCAAACTCAGTCTCTCTTTAGCCTTTAGAAGCAATTTTGACAGGGTTGGGTCACTTTGCTGCATTTCAACAATATTGGTTGGAAGTTTATACTTTAAGGGCAGGTGTGAATCCAGCTCACCTGGTGCCGTTACAACAGTGTGATGGAATTTCTGTTGCCTTTTCTGACTGCGTGGCTTTCTGGACTTCCCGGGTTTCGCCTCCAGCTCTGCGTCATAAAAAGGTAAAGCACTAAGAGCAGGTGATTCGTCACACCTTTTTGACTGAGCCCTTGTGACCACATTGCAGCTTTTTGTGGGCTTTATCAAATCATACAAGATGGGCATATCTTCACCGAGAACCACTGGAAAAGTTAAGTTATCGGCTACTCCAACACTCATCAGGTAAGATTGTCCTTTGATTTCAATGTACACATCATTTCATCAGCTGCCTGCACAGATGTTGGTGCAGTTCTACACGGCCATCATCGAGTCCATCCTCACCTCCTCCGTCACCGTGTGGTTCGCTGGAGCCACAGTCAGGGACAAACAGAGACTACACCGCATTGTGCGCTCTGCAGAGGAAGTGATCGGCCGCAGCCTTCCATCGCTGCAGGACCTGTACGTCGCCCGAGCTCGAGGCCGGGCTGTTCGTATCACAGCCGACCCCTCTCACCCTGCACATGGACTATTCCATCCACTCCCCTCAGGCAGGAGGCTGCGGTCCATCAGGACTAGAACCTCCCGCCACAAGAACAGTTTCTTCCCCTCTGCTGTTGGACTCTTGAACACTTCTTAACCTGTCCCCCCGCCCTTTATAAAGTCACTTTACTGCCCATCATACGTCACTTTACTTCACTGTACTGCTGTCACCTTACATTGTGTGCACCATGTGCACTTGTATATTGTAAATAGTAAC